AAGGAGGAGAGAAAAAGGATATAAAAGAACCTGAAATAACCTCACCTTTACAGCCAGCAGCTCCCCCCAGCACCACTGCCCATCATGGTAGAGGGTGAGCAACATTTTGAGATTAAGGAGATTCTAGACTCCCATAAATATCATGGCATGGCTCAATTTTTAGTGGCCTGGAAAGACCTCCCAGCATCCCAAAATGAATGGGTTCAAAAAAACATGTTAGAGTTCCCAGGTTGCTCAAATAGTTTCATGCGCTTCATCCAGACAAACCTGACTAACGTCTTTTCTTTTGTTTTCTCCCATTTTATTATTTTATGTATTCTCCAGGTGGATTTCTCCTTCTTTTAGGGGCTCTGCCATTCTAGTGGAGGGAGAGGTTTCACTTGTTTGGGAGAGGGATAGCGGATGTATTTCCTTTACTTTATTCTCTCTGTCTTTGATATATCCCTTTTGGTGTGAAGAAGGGGAAGCAATGTGCCAGGGCCCATCTGCCTTATCTCTGCTCTATTGTAAAGGCTATGCCTGGGAACCATCTCTTTTCAATCTGATTCCCATAACAACTTTGCACCTGTGGACTGGCTGGAAATGAACTGGACAGTTGGGCTCTAGGGAGTGGTTTAAAAAGGGATATTTTAATGTAGTGTTCTGCATGGGAATTCTTTAGATCTTGCCTTGCCTTTCTTCTTTCACTGACTCCAAATAAAAGTTCATGTTTGAAACAATGCTTGTTTCAAGAGTTCTGCTTTCTTGGGAACAATAGATGAGGCATATACTGAAACTGCTCATGATTCCTAGAATCTCAGCATAACTATAGACCTACATATTGGGAAAGTTTGAATTAGATTATAGACTGAACAGACCTAAGCCCTGAAAATTCATCAAAAAGTAAGAGATAAATTAAGAAATTCTCAGTATAGGAACTTATTCTGGGGGCAATACACATTTCTTCAATATAAACATTTATACTTGTTTCACCCATCTCAAAGCGTTGTTTTTTCATTCTAGCTTTATTTCTCTTGTTTTTAGACAACTAGAATTTAGACAATTCCGTTAATCTATTATAAATCAGGGATTTTTTTTAAAAAAATTATTATCTGTATATCCCACTCTAATGTGTAGTACTTTGATCTGGTCATCAGATGAAAGAAATCCTCTACCATAATATTAACCCCCCCCCCCCCCGAAAGAAAAATACCTAAAACAAACAAGAAAGTTCCTTCTCCATACCATAAAATTAGTCATCAGGGACATTTGATTCTAATGTTTTCTCTAAAAAGTTATGGTTAAGGAGTTTTATGTATATGGAAGAACATTTGATCATATGAACCTGCAAACTAAGTAGTATAATTTATCTGCTGGTTTTTAACTTCAAAGATAATTTGGCCTGTAAGAGATAAAATCTTATTCATGGAAGAATATGCAGAGAAAAATTTGCTATATTGCACAAAGTAATGGAATCACTAAAAATGTCTGAAGAAGGATTGTCATCAAAGAACTCCAGTTTAGGCCTGAACCAGGATTAGTCATAGCAGTTTTTACTTTATTTTGATTTGCATCAATTAAAAATATAGGTAGTTCTCAAGTTACGAGTATAATAGAGCCTGCCCATTCCACTCATAACTCGAAAACTCATGGGAGTGAATCTTGTACCTTGAACAAGATCAATCCCTTGCTTGTTAAGAGACACACAGCTCATTAAGTGAACATGAGGTATCCCAGGGTAGCGATGGAACAGGCCCTCAAGGCCTCCCTGACCCACTAAGATACCTCATGCTTCCCCCTCCCTTCCTACCGCGCTGGAGTCACCTTGAAAAGATCTGTCTCCTCTCTGCCACGGTTCCTGCTGCCGCCTGGATCTGAGACCAGGGGACACTTCCATGGTCATCCAGGGAGCAGCAAACTCACCCGGAGGGCACTCTTGTCATGGCTGGGGACCTCAATCAAGCCTGTCTAAAGACAGTTCTCTCTAAGTTTGTGCAGTATGTGCAATGTTCCACCAGACAGAAGAACACTTTAGACCATGTGTACTCTAATCTGAAACAGGCATACAGAGCAATCCCCCTCCCCCACCTGGGTACATCCGACCATCTTTCACTTCTATTATGCCTGAAGTATGTCCCTCTCAGGAAAAAAACTCAGCCAGTCATGAAAATGGTTACAACTTGGTCAAAGGGTGCTCTCAGCCAGCTGCAGGACTGTTTTGAAACCACTGAGTGGAGTGTATTTGAACATCAAGACCTGCATGAATACACTGATGCCATACTCTCTTACATCAAAGTGTGCACTGATAGTGTGACAATGGAAAAGTGCATCAGAGTCTACGGGAATTGTAAACTCTGGATGACCACAGAGGTACAGACACTTCTGAGAGCCCGGGATTCTGCCTTTGAGGCAGGGGACAGGAATACATATAGAGAGGCCAGGGCAAACCTTAGAAGAGGCATTAAGATGGCAAAACAACAGTACAAACATAAAGTGGAGAACCACCTAGCAGATAACAACCCGAAGCAAGTGTGGCAGGGACTGCAGCCTCTAACTAACCATAAGGGAAACACGAGAAACACGGGCAATGCCGACGCCTTGTTGGTAGAGGAGTTGAACATCTTCTTTGCTTGCTACGAGGTGAAGAGATCAGACCCCAAAGCCTCTGCCTGCCGGCCTCTTGATTCCCAGCCACTCACCCTATACAAACATCAAGTGAAAGCTGTATTGAAGGCTGTGAATCTCAGCAAAGCTGCAGGCCCAGATGGGGTGCTGGGGATAGTGGTAAATAATTGTGCCAATCAATTAGCAGGGGTCCTGACAAGGATCTTTAACATCTCCCTGCAAACGGCCTATGTTCCATCATGCTTGAAAGCAGCCACTATTGTCCCAATCCCGAAGAAAACAGCAATTAACTGCCTAAACGACTACAGACCTATCGCATTAACGTCTGTAGTGATGAAATGCTTCAAAAGACTGGTTCTCCAGCACCTTAGGACATGCCTCCCACCGGACTTGGACAAACATCAGTCTGCCTACAGGGGGAATAGGTCAACAGATGACACCATAGCTACTGCCTTACATTCTGTAGCGAGCCATTTGGAGAAACCCGGAAATTATGTCAGGATGCTTTTCATTGACTATAGCTCGGCTTTCAATACTATCCTGCCAAGCATCCTTATTGAAAAGCTTACTTAGATTTTCCCCCCATCTATGATTGGATCAAAGACTTTTTGAGGGACTGGCCATAAACAGTGAGGGTCGGGTCTGTTACATCCACCTCCCTAAAGCTTTGCACTGGCTTGCCACAGGGCTGTGTGCTCAGTCCCTACCTGTATTCACTCTATACACGATTGTGTATCGTCTCACCCATCCACTGTGGTCATTAAGTTCACAGATGATACCACCGTATTGGGTCTTATTAAAGATGGAGATGAAATAAGTTCACATGGTGTAATAAGATTGTGTGTTTGTTGTCATTGTGAGTTGTGATGGGTGGGTGCATGAAGGGAAGCTCAGCCAATCTCATTGTACACATGTTGTACTTTGACAATAAAGGAATTTATAAAATTTATAAATACCATGAGATCACATGAGATCAGTACTGAGATTTCGCCCCACTGATTTTGCTTGATCTTGCGTTACTTTAGGCCTCCATTCTCTGTGAACACACCGAAGGCTTGGAGCAGCCAAGAAAGCGAAGGATCTCGATCTTTGAAAGGTATTGAAGGCCTGCTGCTTAGGGAGACCCAGGGTGGGGGTGGGGAGGGAGGGAATGACCAGGGTGAATGTTACAGAGGCTCTGCGATTGCTTGTAAGGGCAAATGACTGCCATGGTGCTGCAATATTCATAATTTTGGGACTTGCTCGTAAGCACTAGAGGGCGCTTATCGCATAATTTTGAATGAGCATTAAGTGAAAACTTGTAACTTGGGGATTTCCTGTATGAGATCTTTTAGTAATTTTTCTAAATGTATATTTATCATTCATAACTTTTTGATCTGAACATTTTTCCATTCACTTTGTGCTACTGAATATTCATTAACTTGTTTATGTGTCTGCATATAAAAGTTTTTTCCAATTTTTCAACTTAATGTGACAATTCAAAGAAAATTTCTGCTATTCAAAATGATACATTTTGAATCAAAGACATGGAAATTCAACATCTCTAATTTAATTAATAGATCAGTTTTCTAAACATTATGTTGTATAAATCTTCTGGGATTCCAACTGTGAAAATTCCCAGCCACACTGCTGAGTTTCTCAGTTTTCTTGAAGAAAAAAAGTAAGGTCATATACTTGTAAAATCAAATGAGAATGAACTGAATGGCAAAATGCATTGTTTAACTGAAGGCGCTTTATCGGCACTACTGAATCAGCTACACTGAGATAGACCACTCTTAGTATAATAATGGCACAAAAAGCTGTAATAATTCACATTTGTCAGAACCATCATAGCCCCAAAGGCAGGTCCAGATGAAAAGTCAGTATTACTATGAAATAAATGTTCCTTGCATGTCATTTTCATGAGATTTTGGAAGTGATCTTCTGTAGAATAAAAAGGAATGATACATGGAGTTGCTGACGGTGCCATTTGTAACATAACCCAACTCAATTTTTCTAGCCACTCACAGGCAGCTATTATAATTCAAAGCATTGATCTACTACAGTCATATGATGATGGCAATATTTCTTCAGTCTTTTTTGCTGTTTTTTTTCTTCAGAGAGCTGCTGCCTTTTTTAAACTGAAGGGCACTGGTATCTAGGACTTGGCTCAGCTGATTTGTGACTTATTTTGAAAGTTTATTCTGTCAATAAAAACAACAAAACAACCACACTTGACATGTTGCTTTAGACCAAAGCCAAAAGGTGCTCTAATCTATTGCCAATTTAATTTACATTTAAAACAGCAGGAAATGAACTTGAATTTTTTGTTGTCGCTTACTGATGGATTACACAGCAATCGATTTGCATGTGCAAGTAGAAGAAATGGAAATACAGTAGTAAATAGTTCATCTTACCTGTTTTTTCTTATAAAATCCCTTCTTGTCACAGTTTGGAATATGCAATCCTCTTGGGCTTAAAACATTCAGAATCTTCAGATTGTTTAATGTTTCTTCCATCTCTCTTCGACATGGACCCTGCCAATTGCAATTTCAGTATATTTTTATAAGTTAACAATTTCTTGTATGTTAGAACATAGAATATAAAATAATAGACTTCGAAGAGAGTTTGGATGTCTTCTAGTTTTAGTTGATTCATTTTATACTATTATAAACAAAGAAGATGCAAATTTATATAAAATAGCAAGGATCATTCAAGAAAGATAAAAAATAGTTATATCTTGAACATTTCACTGTCACATACTGTATATACAGTAAGAATTTGGCTATTTTATTTTTTTTAAATTGCCCCTAATGTGTAAGTATTCTCAAACAGAACTACCCATAATGAATTGAGAAAAATGTATTATTGGGAGGATATATCCCAATCCTTATCCTTTCTTTGACCAATGGATTAGATTCTCAAAATTTATTTTATAGAATTATACATTTAGAACATATAACTATTAATTTACACTTAGCTGGGACAAAAGGCTTTTCACTACAGCCAAGCAATATCTTTTTCTTCTGTCCCAGAGGGGGGGGGAATATCCCTTTCCAAATTACTGCCCATCCTGTGGTCCCTTTACTGCATGCCCATAGTGACATTTGTAAGGTTGCTGCCTGCAAAGAAAGTAACGCCCATTACTTTCTGTGCTGTAGCTGATTGCCACAGCTTCAGAAATATCCACCTGCTGGACTCCTCCTTTTAAATTCAGCTCTCCTGATCCAAGTACTGAGTCTGAAGTTAAAAGGAGATGGGGAGGCAGCTGTAAGGACCCACCTCAATCTTACATCTTAAGTAGACAGAACTCTTGGAATGTCTCTTCCAACAGAGATCTTTATTAAGAGAAGCTGATTGTAGGCATGCTAGACAGGATCTGGGGAATCCTCTCCCACCATTCAATGTTTTAAAGTGTTCCCAAGCAGCTCCCACCCCACAGTTCTTCTGGGCGATTCAATCCATCAGTCCGCTCCGTCGGCACGATCACTCATCCTCTTTTCCCAGATCCCAGGCGTTGTATTTCCCACCCCTTTTTCCTTACTGCCAGCAAAGGGAAGAATTTCAGAGAGAATAAGATGAAAGGCGATGGCTATATTGTTATGGTTAGTTCTCTCGATGAGAATTCACAAATGGTCACTTTGTAGTTAGGGAAGGAAGTGAGAGTCATAAACCCCCCATGCTTTCCCTCCTCCCCTTTCGTAGTATGACAGAATCCAGAATAGAGTAAGAATTGGTTTTTCATCAGAGTAGGTAGATAGAAATGAAATATAATTGGATTCTGACATCCTGTCCCCCTTAAAAATAAGAGATCCACCTGTAAAAAAACAAAACAGGTATAAAAGTTAGTTTGGCTTGTTAGGATACACTGTATGAAACTTTAACAGCTTCGGGGCTCTGACATGACGTTTATGGACCCACTCTTTTTGTGAGGCGGGGAGGTGTTTCCATGCTACTACGTATTGAGTTGTCCCATGATATCTCCTAGAGTCTAGGATTTCTTTATCTTGAAGTGTTGTTCTCCTTCCACCATGATTGGGGGGGGTGGTGGTGGGATTTTTGGCCATAAAGGAAACTGATGTTCTCTTTTCAGCAAACTGCAGTGGAAAATTGGGTGTATTTGCCTAAGATTTTTGGGTAGTTCTAATTCTACTGTTACTGGGTTTATAATTCTTTTAATTGGAAAAGGCCCTATATATTTTGGACCAAGTTTTTTACAGGGTTGTAGGGATTTTAGGTATTTTGTAGATAAGTATACCATTTCTCCTATAATGAATGGTGTAGGTTCGACCCTTTTTTTATCTGCTTGTGTTTTGTATGCTTGCCTAGCTTCATCTAGGGCTTTTCTAACTATTGGACAGCTGTTTTGTAATTGTTCCATCCATTCTTTCAGTGATGGGATTGCCGGTTCGTTTGGGGTTAGTTCTGGCATGGGGTTGAAACTTTGACCGGTAGCTATTTGAAAAGGAGTGTAACCTGTTCTGGAATGGACTGCATTATTGTAAGCCACTTCTGCGAAAGGGAGTAGGTCCGTTCAATTGGACTGTTGGAAATTAAGAAAGCATCTTTTTTTATTATTATTATTTAAACCGACAAACAAAACAAAACAAAACATAATATACATATATACACAATATATATTTTAACATCAACTTCGTAACAGTAATCTTCTATTATTTACATTTTCCCCCTTATTCTTCTTTAGAGTATTTGTCCTTATTGCCCCATTATTTCTTATTTGCATTTTTCTTCCTTCATACATTATTATATACACATTTTCCACATTTATTCTCTATTGTTTCTACTCTCTAGCCAGTCATACCACTTGCTCCATATTAAATAATATTCTGTGTCTTCTTTTTCTTTTATCTCTTTTGTTAATTTGTCCATCTCAGCACAGTCCAGGATTTTCTTTATCACTTCTTCCTCTGATGGTATATTCTCATTTTTCCAGAACTGTGCATATGCTATTCTTGCTGCCGTTGTTATATGTAGAA